CCACAGAGCACAGGTGTACTAACAGACGGGGTCCCTGTAAGCCGGAGCCCCTCTGGCTGAACAGTATGTTCCTCTGTGTGAAGACATTTTCATAGCGGAAACAAGCTCACGGCAGTAAGCATGAAGAAAGGAGGATTTACAGTCTGTTTGGATGAACCCTAACGTAAACCCACCGTCGAGTCGATTCTGACTCAGAGTGGTCCTATGAGACAGTGTAGAACTGCCCCCACGGGTTTCCGGGGCTTGTAAATCTTTATGAAAGCCCCCTCTTTCGCCTACAGAGCATCTGGCAAGAGTGTGAACCATGACCTTTGGCCAGGAGAGTGCTTTACCTGTTGCGGCAGAAGGGGTCCATTTTGAGGAGTGGGAGCCCCAGTTGATGAGATGCTATGCCACCCCCACCAAATGCATTCCCATGAAAACACAACTGTAAACATGATCTATAATCAACTTACTTTGAATTTCCTTAATAAAAGTGGAAATTTGGCTTTTTTTCTCTTTTTATAAGTGCCTACGTAATATTTTGCTGCTTGATCCAAAAAGTCTCCATTGCCTCTCTGGACTCGTCACAGAACAACTTTGCTGAGAGCTCTCGTGTGCTTTGTTGGCTGCATGAGGGCTTAGAGGTGGGGCCCTGGGCATGGCTCTAGAAGCAGGCGGGGGACTAGATGTGAATTAAAACAGCTACAGCAAAGCAGCCACAGCTTGCTGTGTTACCACGTGTCCTATGTCCACTTTCTCGATTAGTTTTCTGTTTATTCAGTTTGTTAGAGTCCTCATTCTCCCCCTTCTGAAGCAAGACAGACACCCAGACTGATAAATTGGTTGCCACCATTTGAAGTGGGATTAGCTTGGCAAACGAGCTGGTAGCATTGTAGCACTTGATTAACCCCACCGTATAGGAGATGGGATTTTGCTACCGTTTGTTTGATGGGACAAGTGATTGAATATCACGTAGCCAGCCCAACATTTGTTAATTTTTAGAGTTGAGTTAGTGTAGTTTTAAAATGACAGAAAAATCTATGCTCTGGTAGATTTTTCAAAAGTAGCTGCTTGTATTTGATTTAAAGTTCTGGAGAAAGAGTATGATAGTCTTGTGAAACAGTTGAGCAATGTGATACATTATAACTATCTGTAACAATACTGAAAGAAACCCTACCAAAAGGCTGACAGCCAGGGGTGCGATTGAAGGTGACTTTTGCCTTTTCAGTTTTCCAGTTTTTTGAAAGGTAGTGCAGTGGCTTTCATAAAAGGGTCATGCACTTATAAATAAGCCATCAGTAGGGTAATTAAGATGATGTCCTAAAAGAGGAAAAGAAATAGCTTCAATTTCAAGTGGAAGGCATTCTGACCAGTCATGGTGTCCCCAGGCCCTATGGGTCCCTTCATCCTGGTCTCGACTGGCAGACTCGCCCTCTCTGGTGTCTGGGCCTGAGTGGTCGCTTGATTAGAGGGACCTGCTACAGGGACACTGTAGGTCTTCCCTGTCTTGCCCTGTGTGTGGGTAATCCTATCTTGGGGGATTGGGGGACAGTGGCTGGGGAGTCTCCCTCATTTTGTCCCCAGGACCTCCATGGTCCACCGAGACTGGTTGAATGAAGAGTGAGTTTCTTAGGTCGTGTGCTGTCGGCCCTCGGAAGGGAGAGTGGTGTGCTCCCACTGAAAACCTGCAGTCCAGTCTGGGAATGTTGGAAGCGCTTTCCTCCCACCCTTTGGGCTCTGCATTGCCTGGTAGCAGCCAGTTGGAGGGGAGAGAGAAGGGACTCCTTAAGAGGTCAGAGCAGGACAGTCCAGTCTGCCTGCCCAAGGACAAGTTCTGTGGGGAGCGGGCCTCCCACTTACCAGTCTCTGCGTGGGGATGGCAGTCTTGGGAGGCAGCTGGCATTGCCCTTGCTCCTGGATGGAACCCTCCCGCCCACTTCTTCAAGACACTGTTCTTGTCTCTTAAACATTTGCTACCCTGGGACTTCTGACTTAGTCACTGAGTCGGAATTGACTTGAGGGCAGTGAGTTTGGGTTTTTGGTTGTTGTTTTTTTCTTTCGTTTGAATGGAAAGAAGCATGTACATCATTAACATTCAATGCTGAACAGAGGGCTTTAAGAAATGGCTGTCCACTCAAAGGGGGGCCACTTTTAGCTGGGGTAAGGGCTGGGGTGAGATGGTAGGGGTAGGTGCAAGATAGGTTAAGTGGAGGTCCAGAAAGCCTACCTGGAGGTGGTGGCATGGGGGTGGGGGCGGTCTCATTCAGAATTGAGTCCCGAGAAATCAGGAGGCCTGAGTGAGCAAAGGCAGGAAGGTTAAAGGTCAATTTGTTGGCCATCACTGGTTCCTGTTTCCCTGACTGGAATGGAGAGGAGTCAAGAAAGGTGGCCAGAACCCATGTTGGGCCAAACGTGGGGTTGGGGAGCCAGGCTACGTGGTGGCATGCTATGGGGTGTCGAGTTGGCTCTGAGATATTGCCCGGCCCTGCTTCATCTTCATGGTCATTGAAGTGTGTGAGCCCGCCGAGTCCTGTGCTTATTTATTGCTGCTGGAGGTAGGCATTGGGCTGCATTCCCACCCCCCAGCCCCTTTGGCTGCCCACTCCCTTTGAGATTGACCACCTCAGGAACCCTACAAGCCCTGTTTTCTGATGTGAGTGGGACGGCCCCCTGGGGGGTGCTGCAACCACCCAGGGGGCTGAAAGAGCAGAAACCTGCACATTATCCTGGAGGGTGAGCTAGATTAGAGTGCAAAAGCTTTTCATGGGGTGGGGGTGGGTCCGTAGGGGGGTGCTGAGGCTTTTTCCCCCCCTGAAAATGAGGCACGGGCCAAGTAAGTTTGGGAACCCATGCGGAGGGGCAGGAGCAGCTGGAATCAACTGGGCTGATGGGCTGAGTGGGAAAGGCGGAAGGCTTTTCAACAGTGAGGAGCAAACCCGCCAAGTCCTTGGAGGAGAATGTGCAGTGAGCAGGGAGACTGGGTCTCCAACAGGTTCAAGTCCCCAGCTGGGGCAGTGGGGTGGGGATGATGACAGGAGAGCATACAGGACACTCTGTGTCCCAGAGTCTGCCCATACTGGGAAGTGTCCCTGCCAGCCAGCTGAAGCGCCAGGGGGCTCTCTTCTAAGAGGCTGACTGTGCCCCGTGCAGGATGACCCCTCCTAGATTTCACCCCCATCCTAGGTTTTACCTCCAGTCTCTTCCTGGTTCCCCACTGAGGCCCCCAACACCCAGCAGACCGCCTGCTTGGAGGGCAGCCAGGTTTAGCAAATGCTAATCTCGGATCCCTCTGTAGTGGACGCCGAGGTTTTAGCACAAGTGTCTCCCACACAGTATCTGGGACATAGTCATGCTTAAACCCGGGGCACCGGGGGTTCCGTGCTGGGCCGATTGCCTGAAGGTCAGCGCCTCGAGCCCACCAGCTGCTCAAGAGGAACAAGAGGAGGCCCTCTGCTCCCAGAAACTGGGGACAGCTCCACCCACATGCAGATAACACTGGCCCCGCTCCCAACCCTCAGACACCGCTCCCAGTTCATCTCTGCTGGCCGAGGCTCTGAGTTGGTGCTGTGCAGGGAGGGAGGAGCTGGGGACTTCGACAGGGAAAGGCTCACTTAGAGAAAGGCTTTGTGTTCCAAGGACAAAGGGGACAGGAGAGTATCAGGCCCATAGGAGCCCTTGGGATTTCTGCCCCCCACCCCCCTGTGTCCCAGAATGCACCTGGAACCAGAGGAAGGTATCTCTCCCCAACCCCCGCTTCCTCACCCATCTTCCATACTGCTGCTGACCCCACTCACACACATAGGAATGAGGGGCTCAGCCCTCACACCCCTCCCTGCCTTCCTCACCACTGGCACCTCTTCTCCTCCACACTGCCCCACCTGGTCCCCAGAGCACCCCAAGTACACCGTGTGTGTGTGTGTGTGTGTGTGTGTGTGTGTGTGTGCATGTGTACTCCCACTCCTCAAAGGGCAGGGCTGCATTTGTAGCCTCCCTCAGGCCCCTGATGGCTATCCTTCCTGCCTACCCAGGCTCCACCCGAGTCACCAGCAGAAGGAACACGGGGTGAGCTGCCTGTCCCCACATCTTCCCCACCCTTACAAGCAGACTAAGTACGGCCCTGAGTGTCACGTGGGTGGGTCCTGTGACTGGTTTCACACCTTCCGGACCCAGGGGCTTTATGTCAGCTGTCCCCTCTGCCCCTCTTCTACACACAGGCTTCTGAGCCTTCTGGAACCTTTCTCCTCGCTGCTTGTTGCCTGCACTGAGCTGCAGACTGCTGTCCCCTCCCCCATCTGGATCACAGTAGACAAAAATGGATTCCCTGTTCTGTCAGGGGCGGAGTGGGTCTGGGGTCCTCCACTGTCTGGCGCGTGGGAGAGGAGCTTTGGGGGTGTTTTGTTGGTTACATGCAAGGCAGAGGGGAGAGAGATGAAGTTTGGCAGGAGGCCAAAAGGACAAAGGGTGAGCCCCCAAATCCCCAGGTTAGTCAGCACACACCTGCTACTGCAGGTATAGCTGGTGAGACTTAGGGACGCACATGTGGGCAGGGGGCTCTGCAGTGCCCCCCATGATGCCTTCCCGAGCCACTGCCCCAGAGGGTCCAGGGAATGGCTGCTGGGGAGGAGGTTGTCCAGAGAGACTGGTGCCCAGTGCTCCCCTCAGCTGGCCAAAGCCTGCCTGGCCCTCGGCTCAGAGCCCAGTTGTGCTCCTGGGCAGGCCAGGCCCTGGGAGCCAGCAGGTGGGGCTGGGCAGGCGAGAAATCGCAGAAAGTCTGGCAGGGGTGCTTCCTGCCCTTGTCTACGGCCCTCAGCCTGTCAGTGGTTTGGCCAGGGACACCTGGGGCGGGGGGAGCTGCGGAACCTAGCCCCCCGTGAGAGCTCGGTTGGCCAATGTAGCAGGCCACTGGCTGGGAGGGTCCCTGCCCTGCAGCATGGCTTGGGGCCTGATCGGGCTCTGGGGGGGCACTTGGTGACAGGTGTCTTTCTGGGAGGCCTCACCCTCTCGGGGTCTCTGTGCAGGTACCTGAAGGAGTTCCGCACAGAGCAGTGCCCGCTCTTTGTGCAGCACAAATGCACGCAGCACCGGCCCTACACCTGCTTCCACTGGCATTTCGTGAACCAGCGGCGCCGCCGGTCCATCCGCCGCCGCGACGGCACCTTCAACTACAGCCCCGACGTCTACTGCACCAAGTACGCCGAGGCCACGGGTCTCTGCCCGGAGGGCGACGAGTGAGTGCCCATCGCCCGCCCTCGACCTAGCTCAGCCCCTGTTGTTCGTCGGGGTGGGGGTGGGAGGCACTCTCCGATTTCCCCACTCGTGGGAAACCCAGACCCCCACACCACCCATGCAGGCCTCCTAAGGCTGAGGTTTAGAGACAGTTACTGCTTTTTACTGACCCTGAATATTTGAACACAAGTTTCTGAGGATGGACAGCGCCCTCACAGGTGACAGGAGGGTGCTACAGGGCTGGGAGCCTCACTGAGGGACCCTGGTTGACCTTGCAAGTAGACTGCGTCAGCTTTGTACAGGTGGTGTGGTCACCACTAGGCTCATCCCCCTACCCCAACGCACCAGCACTTGAGCTGACGTGGACAGCATTCACCCTGGTCTGCTCACCTGGGGTGGGGGGGCCCGAGGGCATCTCCTCAAGGCAGCTACCCTGGTGGGGGGTGAGGGAGGCAGTCTGGCTCCGTGATGGGCTCCTGGACCTGGCTCAGCGAGTCCTCCGGGCAGGGGCAGCTCTGAGTGACCCTGTGCCGTGTTCCAGGTGCCCGTTCCTGCACAGGACCACGGGGGACACTGAGCGCCGCTACCACCTGCGCTACTACAAGACCGGTATCTGCATCCACGAGACAGACTCCAAAGGCAACTGCACCAAGAACGGGCTGCACTGCGCCTTTGCCCACGGGCCGCAGGACCTGCGCTCCCCGCTGTACGACATCAGGTGGGCTGGCTGGCTGCCCAAGCAGGTGGCAGGGCTAGCAGTCAGCTCTGGGGCCGCCCTCACTCCATCCTGCCCTCTCCTCCCAGGGAGCTCCAGGCTATGGAGGCCCTGCAGAATGGCCAGGGCACTGTGGAAGGCGGTGTCGAGGGCCCGGCGGCGGGCGCGGCCAGCCATGCCATGATTGAGAAGAGCCTCAGTGAGGAGCCTCGGTGGCAAGGTGACAGTCAGTTGCCATCCACCCGCCCTCCTCCAGTCCTACCCTCGCTGAGGGGGCTTCCAGCCACCTCCTGTCCCGTCTCATCCTATCCCCAACCTGCCACTCAGAGGTCCCTTTGGGGCATTGCCCCAGATGCCCCCCACCCTCCTCCATCACCCAGGTGCCCCATATCTTCCCATGAGTTTGCATATGTGTGGCCAGGTGCACTTGTGTAAGGGTATACCCTCCAGGGGCCCTCCCTCCCCTCCTGGGTCTCATCCATGGCATTGGCCTCCCAAGAGTGTCCCTGGCCTGTCAATCTCACCACCTGCCCCTGCCCCTGTGCAGAGACCGCCTACGTGCTGGGGAACTACAAGACAGAGCCGTGCAAGAAGCCCCCGAGGCTGTGCCGCCAGGGCTACGCCTGCCCCTACTACCACAACAGCAAGGACCGGCGGAGGGGCCCCCGGAAGCACAAATACAGGTCCTCACACTGCAGCCACTGTGATCGCTCAGGGGAGCTGGAGGCCAGGCCAGGCCCAGGGGAGACAGGCTGGCAGGGTCCGGGCACATAGGGTAGGGATCAGGAGATTGCGGGATGGTGGGAGCCCTGGTCCTCCCTTGTGGGAAGCCGCCCTTGTGCAGACAGCTCCAGGAATGCTCAGAAAGAAGGGGCACCTTCAGGGGGCCCAGCTGCAGGTGGGCTGTGTGTCTGCCGCGAGAACCAAGCGTGCCCTGCCTGGGGGGCTGCTGGGAGGGAGGGGAGCACGCGGTGTCCTGGAGAATGCCGGGCTGGAGGAGTGTGGGCCCCAAGGACCTAAGCTGCACCAGCCCCTCCCATGCCTACCCTAGAGGCTTACCACACCTGCTTGCCTCGACCTGACTCCACTCTGTCCTGGGCGGGCCAGGTCGTCGCCATGTCCGAACGTGAAACATGGAGATGAGTGGGGAGACCCTGGCAGGTGTGAAAGTGGAGACGCCTGCCAGTACTGTCACACACGCACGGAGCAGCAGTTCCACCCCGAGGTGGGCCCCACCCCCACCCCACCCCCCGACTGGCATAGGGACTCACTAGCACTGCCAGACGGCTTGCACCCTCCCTTGGCAGGCTGAGCCCACGTTGTCCAGGTGGCCTGCACCACATGCCTCTGTGTGGGACCGTGGCAGGCACTTGCCAGCTAGTGAGAGCAGGGCTCTTTCAAGCTCCTTTCAGCTGCCTGGCCCACACTGTAGCCTGGGGGCCGGGAACTTCCCAGCCAGTGTACCCAGGTCTCATCAGGGTACAGGGAGACCTGGGCTGTCCCTGCCCTTGGTTCCACGGAAGCCAGGGCACCCAGAGGAGACAGACAGACCTTAGGAGGCTGCAGGCAGTATGGTGAGATGTCAGAGCCAGCATAGATCCTACCCCAGGGGCCCAGCGGGAGGAGTTTTGGGGGAGGGCCTGGGATCTCGGCCCTTTTCCTGCATTCGGCCTGCCCTGAGCACCTGTGAGAGGCCCAGGCCGGGCTGGCGGTCTCATGGCCCACTTGAAGAAGTGGAGTGGCAGCATGGGCTGCCTTGCCATTCTCGCCATCAGGGAGAAGAAGGTGGTGGGAGAGGGGAACCAGGGAACTTGGTGTGCCCCACGCCTGAACTCCCTGTCTGCTTCCCAGATCTACAAATCCACCAAGTGCAATGACATGCAGCAGTCGGGGAGCTGTCCCCGCGGACCCTTCTGCGCCTTTGCCCACATAGAACGTACGTTGTTACCTGTTGCGCCGCCCTCCTCTCCCGTGCTCGGGGACTCCCTCGGGAAAGGCCAACGGCCACATGCTGTCATACGGATGTTGGTCAGGCAGGGCTGCTTCTGCCCATCCCCCCCAGAAGTGCCTCTCTCCTCCCCTCTCTGCAACTGGTCAAGAAGCCCTTGACTCCCAAGGTCTTGTGATGCAGGCTGCAGGGACTGTCTCCCAGGCTTGTCCTGTCCCACCCATTACCCCAGGGGTCACACATGTAGACACTGCTGACGAACCCTGAGCTTCCCTCCTGAGCGACACGGGGCCTCTCAAGCAGGGCTGCCCAGTCAGAACTCGGGGCAGCCTCGCACGCGGTCCACAAAGCAAAAGCACCAGTGACTGTCGGTGCCATCCCTCTGGAGCATGCTAGTGGAGCACACCGTCGGGGTGTGCACTCACAGAGACATCTCCCTCTCGCTGCTGGGCACCGTCTTGGGAATCTGCTATTTTCCACCCACAAGCCACCAGGTGCAGAGTTGTATTACCCTGACCCTCAGCAGCCGGATTTGACTGTGCTCCGTGAGGGTGGCCGCGACTGTGTTTTCAGCAGTGTCCCCTGGGGTCCAGTGAAACACAAACTCAGGGTCCTTGGGTGGGGGTGGGGTGGGTGGCCAGACCACTGGGACCACCTGGTGGAGGTGGCAGAAAAGCGATTCATAAGCTCCAGTTGGTTCCGGCTCATAGCAGCCCAATACAGGGTTTCCAAGGCGGGAGCAGATGGCCTCATCTTTCTCAAGGAGTAGCTGGTGGGTTTGAACCGCTAACCTTTTGTTAGCAGCCCAACACTTAACCCACAGCCCCACCAGGGCTCCTTTAGCTCAAGTAAGGGGGGTGGGCTGTCCCCCATCTCTATGACCATGGGAAAGCCACCTTACTGGCTCATGCTGGAGGGCTGCAAGTTCACGATTGAAGACAGCCATTGTGTGTATGGAGGGACAGCACTGGCTCGGGAACCCACCAACACCCTGTCTGTCTCTTGTAGAGCCCCCCCTAAGTGACGACCTGCAGCCACCCTCAGCTGTGTCCAGCCCCACCCAGCCAGGCCCGGTCCTGTACATGCCATCTGCTGCCGGAGACGCGGGGCCTGTGAGCCCCTCCAGCCCTCGTGCCCCAGACCTCAGCACTGTATGTGCCAGCCTGGAGCCTAGAGCCTTGTCCCATGAGACTTAGGGTGTTGGGTGGGCCCCCCACCCTTTTAGCTTGTATGGGGAAGCTGGCTTTTTGATTGCCCTATGGGGATCCAGTGTGTGAGGTGTCCCAAGTTTCTGTGGTCAGCCTGGGTGGGGCTGATTGGAGAGAAAAAGCCAGCTGCCATCTCCCAGGAGGGTTCCTGGGTGGTGGTTGCTGGCCCGTGGCTGACAGAAGTGGGCCCAAGCCCCCTTGCCGTCCCTCTGAGGAGCATGCAGGCAGGCTGCCCTCGGCCCCACTGTGCTCCCAACCTGCCCCTCCCACCTGCAGCTCCTCTGTAGAAACAGCAGTCTGGCTAGCCCGTCGAACCTCTGCGGCTCCCCCCCGGGATCCATCAGGAAGCCCCCCAACCTGGAGGGCATAGTTTTCCCTGGGGACCCCAGCCTCGCACCTGGCAGCTATAAGAAGGCCCCTGGCTTTGAGAGGGAGGACCAGGTGGGAGCCGAGTACCTAAAGAACTTCAAATGCCAGGTGAGGACAAGGGGACAGAGGATGCCCCACCTGCGGGGGGCGGGGGCACCCCCTTGTGGGCAGGAAAAGCCCTGAGGGTGACTGGGGACCAGGAGGCCTCTCCTCAACCTCCCCAGGACTGAGCCATGAAGATAGACCCCCGACCCCACCGAGACTCAGCCAGTGCCACAGAGCCTCATAGTGAGGCCCGGCCACAGGCTTCTGTGTCACAGCAGCCCTGGGAGGGAGCCCTGATGGCTCAGTGAAGAAGTGTTGGGCTGCTGCCCCAAAGTTGGGTGTTTGAGCCCACCAACCACTCCCTAGGAGAGAAAGGAGGCCGTCTGCTTCTGCAAGGGTGACAGCCTTAGAAACCTATGAGGCAGTTCAGCTCTGCCTTGTAAGGTCCCTGGAAGTCACAATCCACTCAACGACGGCAGTCTATGTCTGGGTTGTGTGCCACCCTGGTGGCATGGCGGACCTTGGAGAGGAGGTGGAGGAGTCCTAGCTGGGCTGAACAGAAGCCTTCTGGGACTGGCTGTGGCTCTGGGGAGGAAAGGGACAGCTCCCCTGGGTCTTGGGAGGAAGTGGAGGGTATGTGTGCAGAGGGGGAGTATGGGGGGCACAGCTGAGTGCGGCGGCCCCAACCCATACCTCCAGCCTCTGAGTCATGGCAGGCTCAGGTGGACTCCTGACTGGGCCTCCCTAACCATCCCCTTGTGCACCTGCTTTCCTCTCCAGGCCAAGTTAAAACCCCACTCACTAGAGCCCAGGAGTCAAGAGCAGCCCCTGCTGCAGCCCAGACAGGTACAGAGCACCCAGACCTGCTAAAACAGGCCATGCAGAGCCCCAGGAAACTTAAGGGTGTGAGGGCCTAGCCTGCGACTCACAGTCCAGGGAAGAGTGGCCTGGACTGGCTCTCCAGTGGGTCAGAGCAGCAGGCGCCCACCACTTCTGCCCCACCCCTGGGAGCACCTCCAACCCCAGCCTCTCCTGAAGCTTTTGCTCTGCACTCCTCTGCCCACCCCACTCCCACCCACTCCCCGCCGTCTCTAGCTCACCTGAGCCACACCGCTTCTCGTTGCAGGACATGCTGGGCCTGCTGCCCGTGGGCAGCCCCCTGACCTCCAGCATCTCTTCTAGCATCACCTCCAGCTTGGCGGCCACGCCCCCCAGCCCCGCGGGCCCCAGCAGCGCCCCCGGCATGAACGCCAACGCGCTGCCCTTCTACCCCACCAGCGACACGGTAGAGTCGGTCATAGGTAATCAGGCCTCTGGCATGAGACTCACGCCAGCACACGTCCCCCAGCCAGCCCTCCTGGGAGAGGGAGAGCGCCGGGCCCAGCCCTTGGAGCTAAGGGAAGCTGCATCCAGGGGTGGGGCGGGGCCAGTCAGCATTGTTCCCTGCCGTGCTGCAGGATCCACCCCCTGTGCAGTGGACAGCCTTGCTGTTCTGGTCCTTGGATGCCACTGCCCTCTTTCAGCAGTCAGGCGGGTACACTCTGCGTCCTGGGCAGATGGGCACATGTCCCGCGCTAGCTGAGGACAGTGACCCTGTGGAGCACACACAGGGCAGTAGGCACCAAGACCCAGAGGGGGCTCAGGGCTGAGACCCAGTAGCTATAGCTGGGAACCCCCTGTCTAGGACTGGGTTCTGCAGACCGATGGGGAGGCGGAGAGGGCAAGGGTCAGTGGGGCTCGAGCAGGAAGCCGGGGGGACCGAGGCGAGGCCGGGACCTGGGGGTTGTGCAGCCGCCCGGGAGGCCTGAGATCACAGCCTGTTAACTCTGCCCCCAGAGTCGGCCCTGGACGACCTGGACCTGAACGAGTTCGGGGTGGCCGCCCTGGAGAAGACTTTCGATAGCGGCCCGGGGCCTCACCCAGGCAGCATCACCATCGGTACTGGGCAGTGGCCCCAGAGGCAGGGGCGGGGGTTCCCAGGGTCCCTGCCGCCGCCCCTCACTCGCTGCCTTTCTCTAGGCGGCAGCCTGCTGCAGAGCTCGGCCCCTGTGAACATCCCCGGCTCCCTGGGCAGCTCGGCCTCCTTCCACTCCGCGTCCCCGTCCCCGCCCGTCGGCCTCTCCTCACACTTCCTGCAGCAGCCCCAGGGGCACCTAAGCCAGTCAGAAAACACATTTTTGGGGACCTCCGCGTCACATGGATCTCTGGGTAAGGGGCGGCCCACGGAGGAGGCCGACAGGAACCCCTGCGCGGAGCAGCAGCCTCGGCTGCTCCCGCCGCAGGGTGTCCCCGGGCTGGCGGCCGCGGAGGACAGGAGTTAGGGACAGGACTTAAGTCCCTGCGTCACTAGCCCCTGGCTGCCACCCTGGACGGCTTGGCTTCGGCGGCCTTAGTCTCCCCGCTGCAAGCGTGCACGCCCGCGGGAGCGCCGTGACGTCACGGGCGGGGCGGGCCGGGCTAACGCGCCGCCCTCCCGGCGCAGGTCTGAACGGGATGAGCAGCAGCATCTGGGAGCACTTTGCCTCGGGAAGCTTCTCCCCCGGCTCGTCCCCTGCCCTCCTGTCCGGGCCCGGTGCCGCGGAGCTGGCCCGGCTGCGGCAGGAGCTTGAGGAAGCCAACGGCACCATCAAGCAGTGGGAGGAGTCCTGGAAGCAGGCCAAGCAGGTGCTGGCCCCTGCCGCCGGCGTCCACATCGTGGGGCATCCAGTTGGCCCATCTTGGCACACAGCAGTCCTGGGGCGGGCGGGGCTCTGGGAGGATGGAGCAGACACTCGGCTGTGGGTGCCACCCCCCCACCCCCCCACACACATACACACAGGTAGAAGGACCCACCCTGCTGGCCCAACCTCTGGTTAGGTCCCAGGCCATGATCACCCTCTGAATGGCTCTGGGGTGACCCTCACAGGACCCCAAGTCATAAATGCCAGGCTCTGAGGTGGACCATGTGCCCCACCATGGTCCAGCTGCCCCTGAGGCACTGCCCAGAGGCCCACCCTTCCCACTGCCTGCCTGGAAACCTCTGCAGGCAGCGCCAGCCTTCCTCCCCGCCCCCGTACAGGTGCTCCGGGGACTCAGAGCAGGGGGCGCCCTCCTGACTGGGTGCTGTGTGCTGGCCCACAGGCCTGTGATGCCTGGAAGAAGGAGGCGGAGGAGGCCGGTGAGCGGGCCAGCACGGCGGGCGCCGAGTGCGAGCTGGCCCGGGAGCAGCGGGACGCGCTGGAGGCACAGGTGAAGCAGCTGCAGGAGGAGCTGGAGCAGCTGCACGCGGGACCCGACCCGCTGGCCCTGCCCGCCTTCTCCGACCTAGAGGCCCTCTCCCTTTCCACCCTCTACTCCCTCCAAAAGCAGCTGCGGGCCCACCTGGAGCAAGTGGACAAGGTCAGTGAGAGGGCAGCAGCAGCCGTGGGGAGTGGGGGGCCGCCAGGGAAGGAAGTCACTCAGTGTGGGGGTAAGCGGGCTGGAGGGCGAAAGCTGCGGGTGGCCCTCTTCTTCTTGGAGAGCATGCATGGACAGCTGCCCTCCTGAGGGCTTCTCCTGTGTGCCCTCCACACTCCAGCCAGCCTTCCAGAGCAATCCAGACCCCAGGCTGCCCTCTGCCTTTCCCTGGGCCGGCAGTGACCACACCGTCTCCCCACAGGCCGTGTTCCACCTGCAGTCGGTGAAATGCCTTAAGTGTCAGGCGCAGAGCCGGGCGGTGCTGCCGTGCCAACACGCCGTGCTGTGTGAGCTGTGTGCTGAGGGCAGCGAGTGCCCCGTCTGCCAGCCAGGCCGGGCCCACCCCCTGCAGTCGTGACCCTGCGCCCGGCCGCCTGGCCTGCTCTCCCCTAGGACTTTTTAAAGTATATATAGATATATATATATGTATGTATGTATATGTATATGATCCTATATATGTATACATTGTGTGCGTGCGGGTATGCGTGGGCGGCCAGCGTGTGAACAGTGTCTGTGTATATATCTGTACATGGATGTAGACACACACTTTAAAACCGACTTACCAAGCACTTTTTAAAAGAAAAGACTATTTTGCAGCCCCTTCCCCCTTTACTTCCCTCCCTGCAGAGACAAAGCCCCTCCCACAGGCCCTTTGGCCAGGAATCTGTTTTGTGTCTCCTTTTTTATGTAGGAACTAACTATTTTTAACTTCTTTCTGGGCCTGAGCAGGGAAGGGCCTAGGGTGAAGGTGGGAGTACCTTCAGGGCAGGTGGAGGCAGCAGAGCAGTTCCAGAACTCGGCTCCCAGCTGTGAGAGTCCCCAGGATTTCAAGGGTACGGGGTGTGCACTCGGGCGAACCAGCCGAACTCCTAGGCCGGTGTTCTCAACCTTCCTAGTGCCGCAACCCTTTCATATACTTGTGTTGTGGTGACCCCCCCACCACCACCATAAAATTATTTTCATTGCTACTTCATAACTGTAATTTTGCTACTGTTATGAATCAGGCGACCCCTATGAAAGGGTCATTCGACCCCCAAAGGGGTTGCGACCCACAGGTTGAGAACTGTTGTCCTAGGCTTTTTACCAAATGACTGTTTCATTCTAAGGAAAGTCAGCAGGGGCTGGACACCTGGGCCTGAGGTCCCAGGAAGGTGCAGCGAAGCCCAAAGTTCTGACCCTCAGGTTCCTGAGACCTTGGGGTCCACCCTTGGTCCTCACCCTGTACCCCACCCCAGGCCACCTACTAGGCTGGCACTGCCCTCCCTGCCTCAGCTGTCTGGTCCCTACTCTCCTTGCACGGCCCTTATCCCCCTCCCTTTGGCAGCTAGCAGGGCAATTGGTGGGGGGTGGGGGTGGGGTGCCGCCCTGCCCCTGGAGGAAAGCCCTTGCGCATTCCTTGGTGCTCTGAGTGCAGCTGTGGTCCGGTTCGGCCCGGCCAGGCCTGGGATGGGCGCCTGTGTGCATGTGTGTGCCGGCCTGTCCACTGTAGGCAGTGTCTTAGCTTCCATTTTTAAATTGTTGTGTACAGAGAGGTGCCATGGGGGGAGGGGAGGGTGGGAGGAAGGTGGCCACCCTGCTCCCAGCACCGGTGTCTGGAGCAGGGGGGCTGGGAAGGGTCTAGCCCAGCCCCCACCCCCCCGCCCCCGATGGGCTCAGCACCAAAGGGCTTTCAATGAATTACATGAAAACTTTCTCTTTTTTTACGAAAATGCAAAATCAACAAAACTCCAAACTCAATGGAAATAAAAATAAGAACTTGTGGTGGTCGCTGGTTTCCTGGGGGTCTGGGGAGGGGCCCTCAAGACTCCAGGCCCTGCCCCAGGCGGTAATCAGCCCTGAAGAGAGGCCTGGGGGTCCCCGAGGCCCTCCAAGGTGGAGGGGGCTCCAGGGTCCTGGACAGTCGGAGCTCTGCATTCCAGGTCCTGGGGGCGGATGACAGTGCTGCAGGAGTCCTGGCCTGCTATTTCCAGTGTGATATTTAGGAAAACAAAACCACCATTGAGTCAATTCCGTCTCATAGTGACCTTGCCTGGCTGAGTAGAACTCCCTTGGATTTCCAAGACTTACATACCTCTGGGAGCAGACAGCCTCTTTCCAGGGGAGAAGTGGCAGCTGGTGGATTTGAACTGCTGACTTTGTGGTTAGCAGCCCAGCTATGTCACCAGGAGGTCCCAATTGTTTCTGATAATGGGACTTCTGGTGGGTCAATGGGGCTGATTGTCATGAAAGTATCAAAAGAAGTAGGATGGTCTGCTCTCTCACCCTAAGGTTGAGGACGGCACCCCTGCATTCTACTGGGCTCTAGGGGTGTGAAGAAGACCCAGCTTTGGAGTGAGGCCGTGCATCAGGGTCTCAGAAGTGGCCCACTCTCCCTAAAACCTACCCACATCACCTTACAACTGCCTCAGCCCAGCAGGGGCCCCACTTCACCTGACACGGGCACCTTCCTCTGGGCAGGCCTGTGGCCCAGCTCCTTGGAGCCTTGCTGCCCGGAGCAACCACGTAACTTCAACCTGTCTCCTCCCTCCCTGGGGGGCCTTCCAGTTGTACCTGCTAACCCGTTCCAGACCCCCACCCCCCGGCATGAATTTGCTGTGGGTACCCAGAAAGGGGGTTCCCTCAGTCCAAGGCCCAAGCAATGTCAGTGGCCCCTGCCTCTGGGCCAGTCACCTCTCACTGCTTTGCGGTGATAAGCCAGGTCTCCGGGGGTCTCAACCTTCCTAATGCAACCCCTTAATACACTTCGTGTTGTGGTGACCCCCCCACCATAAAATTATTTTTGTTGCTACTTCATCACTGTCATTTTGCTACTGTGATGAATCAGGTGGCCCCTGATTCAACGAACTGTGAAAAGTTCGTTTGACACCCACCCCCAAGGGGTCATGACCCACAGGTTGAGAACCACTGCCTTAAGGGTTGGGAAGGGCTGCACAGGCCCACTGGAGAGCATGTGTTTTTTAAGAGGACAACAGACTGTTGAGTAGGTAGCAGTCCCTGAGCTACTTACAAAGAACCCCACCTAGCAGTCACCCCTCCACCCGAGAAGCCCCGTTACCTTCACAGACTAGCCATGTCTGCAGGCTTGTCAAACAAAGCCACGTACACGCCCTGCTTTGATGCCTCTGTGTATGTGGTGGTCCAGACCCACAGGCGTTGGCCCGGTGATGCTCGATTCCTGGATCTGACTGATGGCTTCCGTAGGAATTCAAGTTCCCAACAGGCTTAAGGACAGGACTCGTCTGATTGGGGACTGCCACATCCCTATGTTGGTTACCTGCCTGGTGACACCCCTCACATGGCTCAACCATGGGTTAAATCTAGTTTGTCGTTTTCCATAAAGCTGTGACCCAGGACAGTGGATTGCCAACTTTATTATTTGCTTCTCTGTTGTTTCCAAGAGGCAGGCAAGGGCGGGTGCTGCCCCAAGCTGGAGGCAGCCCCTCAGACACAACTTCCTGTCTTGTCCTCCACGCCAGCCACTCTCAGCTGCAGGCTCCTCAGGGACATGCCACCAGGGGCTCCCCCACCCCCAGAGAGACTCGGCCACAGCCCAGGCCCCATGAAGTTGAGTGGGGTGCTGAAGACCAGCCAGGGAGCCTGCACGGCCCCGGCCAGAGGCCGGAGGAGGCAGAGGCCCACTTTCCAGAAGGGAGACAGCTGGGCCCTTCCTGGGCTGAGCTGTGGGGGCAGGGAGTATAAATATCGCTAATGGTAGCCATCTCCAAGGCTGCGTTCCCAGGCCTGCAGCACGTCCCTAGAATACTGGGCCAGGCAAGGGGTGGGGTTGCACTGTGGGGAGGCCCCTGCTACCGGCACAACCGTGGGGCGTGCTGTGCGGCCTGCTTGGCTCGCTGCCGCCGCACTCTCACAAAAGCCTGGGCCTCACGGTCCCCCTTGCGGCTCTCCAGCAGCTGCAGGATCGGGTCCCCTGTGGAGAGGGTGTGGGGGTCAAGACTCAGGGGGCCCCCATCCAGGAGGAGGAGCAGGGCCTGGGTGGTGGTTTCTGGCCTGGCACTGCCCAGCCCCCAGCTGACCTGGACTCTGGGTGGCCACACCCAGCCAGACTCAGGGCAGGCTGGAAACCCTTGCTGGCCGGGACGCACTGACCCGGTTATGGGGTAGAAGCAGTGACCGGGCTGGGCCTGCGCCCCTCACGCTTCTGTGGGCACCTCCCGCTAGTTACTGAATCCCTTCGTGCCTCAGTTTACTTGTCCGTGAGGCAGGTTCATACCTCCCCCTTGGGTTGCTGTGGGAACTTAGACTGGGGCCAAGATGGGTATAGAGGGCCCAGTCTGTGATCATGCCCTGCTCGGGGACGGGGACAGGCTCTCTCCCCAGGGTCCGCCATGTGACACCTCGCCTGGCTTAACTTCCACCGCCTCCAGATGAGACTCAAGAGGCACCTGCCAGGACCTGCCCTGGTCCTGGAGCTCAACCTACCGTTGGGGGCGGGGTAGGTGAGGGGCAGGCGGGTCTGTGGCACCTCTCCCGGCTCCTCGGCCCCGGGCAGGCCCCGCACGGAGTGCAGGGGCAGGAAGGCCTCGCCCTCGAGGTCATCGGCCCCCAGCGTGTCGTGGTCCAGCACAGTGAGCAGGAGGCACGCCCCCTCCTCCTGGCACGGCTCCGCGGGCACCAGGCTGGGTGGGGGACACAGTTGGGCTCACTCACTGCCACCGCCTCCCCCCTCTTGACCCTTGGGGACAGGCCAGGGCCTGGAGGAAGAAAGCCAGCCCTTGGCTGGTATTCTCCATCCCCTGCTCAGACGCCTGCTCTGACCACCGGCTGGTTGTGATCCAGGGCCCTGCGCCCCCGGGTACTCAGCTCGGGGAGCACACGGCAGCTCCTGGAGGCCGTGGAGCCGGGTTCAGGCAGCCATCCCATCCAGCAGCCCCTTCTGGCCTCCAGGAGCAGGTTGGGGGCCTTGCTAGCAAACCCTGTGCCAGATGTCACTTCCCTGGCACCCACAGAGACAGCTGAGCCAGGGCTGGGGACCCGGGGACTGTGGGAATTGGGACTGCTCACAATTCAAAGGTCTCATCAAACAGCGGGTGCAGGTCCTTCTTGTGTTTCTGTGTCTCCCGGGGGGCCAGCTCGGGGAACACGTGCCTGGGCTCCAAGGTGAGCTGTACAAAGGGGTCACTGGAGCCTGGCATGGGCCCCGGGCAGAGGAGGGGTGTCAGGCTGAGCATCCCCATAGCACTGGCCCTCCTGGTGACCAGGGGAAAGTGCATGCAGTGCTCTCGGCAAGAGGGACAGGCAGGCCCGAGGGCTGGGGACTGGCAGGTGACCAAAGGGCAGTGGCCACTCACCATTAGAGTCCAGGGGCAGCAGGCTGGAGGCACTGAGCAGCTCGACATGCAGTTTCTGCTCCGAGGAGCGGTAGGAAGCCTTGACCGTGACCACCCCGAGCTCCTCGGAGGTGGTTTCTGCCTGTGGTGGGGAACGGGCACAGTGTGGGCTGGGCCGAGCCCAGCCATGGGGGCAGTGGGAGAAGGGCACCGTACCTGCTGCTCCAGGCGCCGGCAGAAGTACAGCCGGATGAGCTGCCGGCTGGAGGCCGCCTGCAGCTCCAGGTCCTTCTGCAGCGCCTGCAAAGGGGACACTCCGTCACTGGGATTCCTCCACAGCTTCCAGGAGCCCCGTCAAAGGGACCCGCCAGTCTGATGTGGAGCATGCTGGGTTCTACAGGCCCAGGAAGGTCCGCTTCAAGGGCCAGGCCACCTGGGTGGTGCAGGGCCTGGTGCTTGGAAGGGCCTCCCTCTTGGTTTGGCAAACACTTGGTTGTTCACTTTAAAAGTCAGCAGTCAAACCCAGTAGCCACTCTGTGGGAGAAAGAAGTGGCCACCCGCTTCCATAAAAGTGACAGCTTTGGAAAACCCATGGGCAGCTTTACTCCATCCCCTGGTGGCATAGTGGTTAGCATCTGTCTGCTAAGCTACAAGGTCAGCAGTTCGAAACCACCAGCCACTCAGAGGGAGAAAGGCAGGGATTTCTACTCCTATAAAGAATTAGTCCTGAGAACTCACGGGGCCGTCGGAATTGAGGGCATGACAGCCAATTTGGGATTTCCGGTAACAAGGTCCCTATGCATAAGAATTGACTACAGCCGGTCCACAATCTTGAATTTCTCGATGGTTTGTGACCCAGTGCCCCACATTCTCATTCTGCCCTGGGCTCCACAAACTCTAGCCCCTTCTGGCACAGGTGAGCCCAAAAAGGTGAGACCCCGCCCCCAGCTCACCTCAAAGGTAGCGGTGTGCCGGGCCTCAGGGGGCAGGCCACAGCCCTCGGCGTGGAAGATTATCTCCAGGTTCTGGGTGGTAAGAAACAGTGGTGACTTCGGGCTTACCCCTCTACCCCGTGCCCCCCAGGGCTGGTCTGGTCTCGGGTAGCCTTACCTGTAGAGCAGCCTTCAACCTGCTCGAGGCCAGCGGGGAGGTGCGCTGGGAGGTGGCTGCCTCAGCCAGCACTGTCAGTGTATGCGTCCAGAGCAGGGTCAGGAGGCTGGGGTGAGGGGCGGGTGGACAGGAGGCCACAGGAGGAAGCAGATGTGAGAAAGAGGAGGGTGGGCTCTTGCCCTGGGCGATGGAGGGCAGTGCAGGTGGGTCTGTCCTGTCTAACATGCCCTCTGCCGGTCAAGACTCCATCTCAAAGCAGGGGCCCAGAAGGGTGTACAACTAACTGCTCCCACTGATGATGGGATCACCACTCGATGGAAGGGACCAAGATGAATAGGGATTCAATGCCTCTGGGACCTCAGGGTGTGGGGATGGGAGACTACCATAGCAACCAAGACACCATCCCCACAACTGCAATCTGACAAGCGTCCATGCCCAAGCCAGCAGGGAAGCACCACCAACGTGGTACGGAGTGAAGAGCGCGGGAAGCCGGCAGTTCCACCTGGTGTACACCTTTGTTACCCAGCGCATCACAGGGCCCTCGGAGTCCCTGGGACGGACTGAGCATGCTCTAGCAGCTCACTCAAGAGTGAGTGGCTAGCATGCCCTGAGGGGCCTCCAAAGGAGGGCCTGACCACCGCGCCTAAACAGTCAGCCCCAGCTCATTCCTCAGACTCACCCCGTCATGTCTTCCTCCGACCGGACAAGTCAAACCCTACCCTGACCTGACACACTCCAGCCAGAACCAGCTCAAAGGCATTGGTTTCGTTTTCGATGCACCAGGCACAGTTCGGCAGACTTCCGGGGCAGCAGTGAGGGTCCAGTCTAAATCCCGGGGTATGTACCACAGAGCCGCATCAGCGACCGACTGTAGCCAAGACCACGTGCCTACACCACGGGGCCCAGCAGATGGGGCCTTTGGGGAAGTGGGGGAGGAAGAGGCTGACAGGCTCCCTTGACCCCAAATCCAGGTCACTGTCATCGTTGTCATCGCTGCGATGGCCGCCATTGGTCCCATCTTGGGTCCTGGGTACAGACACTGGTCCCAGCACCAGGCAGGACTAGCTGAATCTGCCCAGGGCCCCCAGGAAGCCTGGCTCCAGAGCTTACCACCCCCTCCCAACTCCGTGTGTGCAGAGTCCCTGCTTGAAGACAGACCCTAACCACAAGTCCCTCTTGGGGCCCTCAAGGTTAAAGAAGAATGTGTACCACTCAGCTGGGGCAGGGGCAGGCTTGGGAGGCAGTGAGCTCCCCGTCCTGGGGAGCAAGCTTTTGAACAGAGGCTGGTGAAAGGACATCAAGGAACTCCTCCCCAGAGAAGGGCTGCCTAGGGCAGGGGAAGGAGGGCAGGGGCCAGGGAGGGTGGGAGTCGAGGGGGGAGAGTACACCTGCTGAAGTTTTCCCACACCAAGTTGGTGTTCATGTAGCAAAGCTCCGCCTCCAGGAACTTCATCAAGGGCACGACGGCCTGGGAAAGGGGCGGGAACATGTCTGCTTCCTGGCTGGTTCAGGTCCCGGCCCCCACTTCCTGGCCCTGATCCCCAATCATTCAGGCTCATAGCGACCCCACGACCAGCAGACTTGCCCCACCCTCACAACTGCTACACTCAAGCCCATCCCGGCAGCCATTGTGTCAGTCCATCTTGTTGGGGGACAGAGGGCCCCAAGCTTGTGTGCACCCTTTGTGATATTTAAGCCCCAAGGCTGCTCATGACCTGCCTGCCCCCCTTTACCCGTCTCTCCCCCTTGCTCAGTCTGCTCCAGCCCCAGCCTGGGACCTGCTAGCTCTGTAGCCCCTCCCTCCCACCTGCCAGGCATGGTTCTGCCTTGGGCCTTTGCCCATGCCATTCCCTCTGCCTGGAATGCACTTCCTCTAGACTCCCTCCTGGCTCCCTCTTCACTTCCACTGGGTCCTGATTCACCCCTCACCCTCTGCAGCAGGCCACTCTCAAAAGCCACAGCAGCCCTCGGACTCTCCAGCCCTTCTCTTTAGCTCTGGTCATTCCCGAATACTCGATACATAAACGCGTCTCTTATTTCCTCTCCCTTTCCAGAAAGTAAGGCCCCTGGTGGTGCAGGGGCTTCGTGTTTGGCTGTTAACTGCAAGGTCAGCAGTTCAAATCCACCAGCCCTGCCTGTGTTCCCCTGTGCATGCCCCCTGCTCCAGAATGACCCAGAGATCTTCTTGCTGAAAGATGAGGGCCTGGTCAACTCTGGGGGCATGGCCAATGTGCTGCGCTTTGTCAGTTCTCCCAGTGGCACAGTGTTGGGGACACAGTTCTACTCTGCCCTCCGGGCCCACTCAGAGCCAGGATCAGGTAGCAGCAGGTTTACAGGTACTAAAAGGTCCAGCTTGTTGTCATTCCTCACTGATTCGCCCCCAGTGTCTACATCAGTGCCTGGCACAAAGCAAGTGCTTCTCTTATGGCTGCCGGGCAAACGAAGGTGTGTACGAGTATGCCCTGTGGACAGATGATAAGACAGGCCAGCTCGAGTGTCCCTGCCGGGGCAGCTGTAGCCAGCAGCTGGTCTGCCTGGCAACACAACCCCAGCCCTCCTCTGGCTGCCTGCACATCTGACCTAAGGACACTACCCATCAGGTGTCCTGCTCTCTCCAGCATCCAAGGAGGAAACAGAGGCCCTAGGAGGGAGCATGGCTTGCCCAAGTCTGAGGATTTCTCTCTGACACCCCAGGGCCTTCAGCCCTTGGCCCTCCTGGAGCCCCCACAGTCCCTGGTGGGCTGGCAGAGAAGGGCACTCACGTCCTCCAGCAGCACGGACTCCTTGACGGCCAGGAGCTTCTGGATATGCTTGGCGATGCCCACCTCCAGCTGGGGGCACGACATGGGGG